CCAATTCTTTTACGAACAGTGCAATGAAACTACGTCCACAAGCAGCCAGCAATGCACACGGGCATGCGTGGGGACGTAGGCTCCCACTGAGAATGGCAAGTTCGGTCAGTAGAGAAGGTACTGAGTATGGCAGCCAGAGGTGTCGTCCCATCTTCCCGTACAACGCCCATCGCTACCCTATACCGGGATGCTGGGCTCCCATCAGCAATGGTAGCTCTGGAGGAGGCCCAAAATTCGATTCGCGACAAGGCTTCAGGTGGTGGATGAGAAGCACCCACTGGCTTCACGGATAGCACCTCCAATGATCACACGAGGAAGAGGGGCTGGAACCCGGCAGCGCTCAAAGACCAAGATCCAGCGGTTGGGGGCGCTGCTACCTGCAGTCAATAGACCCACACTTGCCATCCCACACTACTCAGAGGGATGCGGGACAGACCCCACAGAGGGTGTAGACAAAAAGAGTGCTGCTCAGGCATTCAAGGAATGGTGGAGAAGTCAACCCTCAACAGATCTATATGTTTTCTCAGATGGATCAGAACGGAACCTTGACAACAGCAGGCAGGTGAGCTATGGCTTCATAGTCTGTCAGGGAAATAAACAGCTGGCCAGCTTCTCAGCTGCGCTGAGCCCTATGTCACATGTCTTCGACGCTGAGGCAGTTGGTGCCTGCCGGGCATTAGAGTGCACTGTGAAGCTCCTACCTTGTGTCACAGAGGACGGCAGCAACCCTCAGATCTGGCTCTGCCTCGACAACACCTCAGTCATCTGGGGCATACGGGGCAGTGCAGCAGCCTCCTCAAACTGGGCCTACAACCGCTGCCATGAGCTCCTCAGACAGCACAATGTCGGCCTGAAGTGGGCTCCTGGGCATATGGGGATAGAGGGCAATGAGGAAGCAGACCGCTTGGCTAAGCAGGCAGTCTCATCCACTGCAGCCCCAGCCTATGGTCTCGAGGCCACACCCACAGTCAGTGGGGTCCGCACAGTGGCCAAGCAGCTCAGCCAAGAGGCAAGGCGAAAGTGGTGGAGTGGAGCCTGTGGCAAGCTCTCTGACTGGTACCGGGGCTGGAGTTTCAGCAGGCCGACTGTGGAGTACCAAGTGAAGGCCCCTCCGGAGCTCACCATGCCACGGCATGCCCTTCACCGCTGGCTCGCACTCCGCTCCTCTCATGGGGACTTCTCCTGGTACCACAGGCGTTTCCAGCATGCAGATGCGAGGCTCACCTGTGTCTGTGGACACAACAAGAGCCCAGAACATTTGGTGCTCTGTCGACACTCACAGAGGCACTTTCTTCACTGGCCCAAGAGGCCAGCAGCACGGCCACACAACCGGGCGACAGCTGTTGCCTATCTAGGGTCTCTGACCCCTACAGACTTTGTAGAACTGCTGGACTGCACGCAGTTCTACACACGGTACTGCACAAGGTAACGCAGCCGGCTGGCTGCAAACCATCTGACAACCCCCGCAGCAGTTCCACGAGGCCGGCCTGCTGAGTACACCCACGGTAGCTAGTGCAACTGCCAGGGACATCACAGTCTATGCAGACAGTACAGATAGCACAACTAGGCTCATCTGTCTCAATTAGCTGTGGTGTAATCAGTACAGTCTACGTGTCTGACTCAGCTGATATGGTTTTGACTGCCGGCATTGTATCTACGCGTGCTCTGCTTTGTTTTCCTCTCGTTTGCCCTTGTCTCTATCGGCTCAAATGCTTCTTCTTCCTTCTTTTCTTTGCTCTCTCTGTCATTCTCTGCTCTTTTCCTGTCACAACCTTCTTCAGTGCTCTCTCCTCTCTTTTCCCCCGGGTCTGTGCCAGGTCACGTGACTGCAAGGTGTTGCAGATGACACAGTCTTTCCTTCACCTCTCTCTTTTATTCTTTTCATTTCAGAACACACACTTTCCCTCTCTTTCTTTCATTATTTATCTTGTCTGTCTTTCTTCTGATGTTAGAAGCACAGACAGCTTTCTGATCAACTGAGAGAGGTATCCCTCTCTGCTCACTATAAAGCCTTCCAGGCACGGCAGCGGCGGTCCCCTCAGGGAACCACACTATAGCCCCACCATGAATGGCCATACGTAGGGCCAGAAGTGGATGCGCAGCTCAGAAAAATCCTTTGCAATGAGCTGAGTCTTCTCAAGAGTTGCCACCTGGATTCTGTTTTCTCTCTCTCTCTCTGTGTACATAGAAATCTCTCCAGCGTAGCACGTCTCCATGCCCTTCGGGAGGCTTCTGAAACACGGGCGCTGCCCGTGTTTTCTCCGGGACGTTAAACCTATACATACATACATACATACATACCTGTGGGATGGTTAATCTTCTCATTGTGCGATCGATAGCTAAAGGGGTAATCACGTGCGGTGGAGGGCCGCCTGGGCAACTAGTGCCCAACAGATTTTTCCTACTCCGTACACTGTGATCCATCATAATCATCCACATCATCCACACCATGGGCCCCTGATTTTTCAAACACTTAACCCAATATGGCAGATTGGAACGCGCACCAATATTACAGGGCTTTACAAGAAAATACGAGGTTGGTGCGAGCACCTAACTGAAAGCGGTAATTTTTTGGTGCGCGCAGCGTTGCAAAATCCGTCTAATAATTACGCTGTAGGATTCATCTTCGCCTGGTTCTTTGCTCGTTGTGAATCAGAGCCAAGCCGGATCAACCCTTTGACCATAATCCTCCCTTTGATAATATATATCAGCATCTTTTCCCTAGCGAGTTATATTCTCTCGCAGATTATCATCGATCATAACTTCCTTTACAATTCTGCATTTTTGTTCCCCTGGTTTGCTTCCCCATCACATAAATATAAGCATACCAATCTAAATTTTTTCCCCCCTTACCAGCTCCTAGTTATCTCCACACCAACTCAACAGTTCTT